CCAAGGTTAAAATTCTCAATAAGCAGGACAATCTCCATCTAGCAGGGAAAAAACGCACCCATTGTTCAAGCTTCCGCAGTTTTCGTGTATAAGATCTAGTGACAGTAAGAAACTATTGATCTAACAAAAACCAACAAGCATATTTGCAATGTCTCGGCATTCGAGATGGACAATAAAGTCCGTTTAGGCCATATGTCTGTAATATGACTATGCAATGAAGCTGACTTACATAAGTATCTCGAGGGTCTGCCTGATCCAAAGGAACCACCGAAAGGATTGTGTGAGGTACATAGCCGACTCGTTGGTGCACATTGCGGCATTCCCACCAGTTCTTAGCATCGTCTAGCACCTGCAGTTCAACAAATTATCAAGAAGAACTCAAAGTGAATTAGCGTACCTCAAGGTATTCTCCACGACTGACAGTCAACTCTTTAGCATTCTGAGCAACTCTGTCAAAGGTGGCCATTACCAACTTGCTCCCCCTTCCTATAGCGTCTTCTACGAAGGCTCTGGAATTGGAATTAGAAGTGAAGGCGTGCTTTGTGTTGTATGTTGGATCGGGAGACTATAAAATAAACTGGCTATGTCTACTGGAGCAACGGTGAAGAGTCATTGTAATTTTCTAGGGAATTTTGCACTACATTCATAGTGTCAAATGCTGTGGATTATGAGATGTATTATACTAACAAATCTGCTTCTTTATTATTGTAATTCTACTCAACTGAGGTTGCATCTAGAAGAGTAAGTTTGTATACTCTATTGTATTTGGCTGCAAGATGTGGTATTTTTACTTCCTCATTCTTCAAGTGAAGCTTCAAAATATCTTCCAATTAGGGCAAGAAATTAATGAAGCAAGAACAAAAACTTTCAAAAACTCATACAAATACTGAATACCATACAAGATACCGAAATCGAATCGAAAAATGCGGACACGGCTTCTTACACAACCTGATAAATTTTACGCAGCTTGCCTAATCATTTTTGCAACGAAAACGTTAGCCTCTTTTATCCATTTAAAATTCGTGACTAGCCCAGCAAAAATAGTGCTATAGTGCCTCCGGTAGCAACCAACAAGGGAACAAAGCCTGTTATAATAAAGACTGTTATCTAAAAATAACCTTTGCCGAGGGGACTGATCGCCTAAGTCTGGTATCAAAACAGGGCGAAGACCCCTTCCAGCCATTGGTGACGGCTGCGACGAAGGCCTGTAACGGAGCATAAACTTTGATTGCACAAACTTTGGTTTAAAACGCTCTTACGGTTCGTAAATGGACTTTGAGCGACTGCTGTTTACAGAATCAGACTCCTGTTTGATCATTTTTCGTTCTGCTTCTAACCG